TGTCCTTCGTTGTCAGGCGAGCTGCTTCAGACACTGTCAGCCAATCTGGTGGACCTGGAGAAGCAGCTGGACACCCTAGAGGAGTGGCTGGTGCCCCTGCTGGAGGAGCTGGAAGGGGCCGAGTTCAACCGTAAGGAGATCCCCGAGCTGGACGAGACACTGCAGGTACGGAGTCTTAAGCCCCTCCTGTTGCTAAATTTGTGGAGTTTGAGCTGCAAGTCAAAAATTAGGTGCAGCTGTTCATTGTTGAGCAACTCAGACTATTGAGGTCTGGCAAAAATGCCAGGGTCAGGGTTGTGTTACTCCAGCATTGCTCTCCACAAATAGCTGTCCACAAATTTCCTACAAATACCACCTTGATAGCCTTTGTACAGTCTCCAAGGAGTTACAGTTGATAACTTTCACGGAGAAATCTTGGATGTTGTCTGAATAACCAGTCGGTGATTGCCTCCCTGTCCACAGTTCATCTCCCAGGACGTTGAGAGCCACCGTCCGGAGTATCACACCATCCATGACCTGGGCGAGCAGCTGATGAAGCACCCCAAGGCTGGTGACACGTCCTTCGTCACTGCCGTCCTCACCAACCTGGACCAGAACTGGCAGTCCCTGGACGACGTGCTGGCCAAGCGGTACGTCCATCCCATGCAATCTCTCAATCTTGAACAAATGATGTCCTCATTTGATTTCTTTTTCATGGTTTTAGAGCAGAATAAAGTGATTACTGTGAAGCTAAATTTGGTGTCGCAAAAACTTGTTACATCATCAGTGCAGTACAGTTTTCCCAATGGAGTATTTGTGAAATGTTTCCAAAACATTTCAAGTGGCTCCTTGATGCACTAAGGCTTAACTCCATTTCTCCCGTGCACTGTTGCTACAGCTTTGTGTGCATTCAGATGAAAACATTGGTGACAGGCTCTGTTTACTATTCATGAATATAAATGCCAACCTTCATGCACTTGAGACCTCGGGCTCCACTGAGTTTGCATTACGGAGCCATCAGCAGTATTTGTACAGAGTCTGTGTGAACCTCCTCATTGACAGATGGAAGGGGGTCCAAATGACCCCCCTCAAAAAGCAGCTGTTTTCTGCATGTTATTTTTGAATTTAATGAGAAGGACAATTTTGAGGATTAGTTTGTTTCCTTTCATCCCCAGGGAATGTAAACACGCTTAAGAAATCCCTTCAATAAATCCTAAATTTGTTATCCCCCCCCTAAAAAAAAATTGGTTCGGGATCTGCCCTTGAACCTCCTCTCTCTTGTCTGCCTCCCACCCCGCAGACTCCAACAGCTAGAGGACAGGCAGGTAGCCACCAAGCGCTACCAGAGCCGGGCCAAGGAGACCAACTTCTGGCTAGACAACATGGAGAGCAAGCTGAGCAAGCTGGACCTGACGGTGCAGGAGGCCAAGGCCGTCGACCTCCAGATACAGCAGCTCAGGGTGAGGGTCAAACGAGTGCTGTGAATGGGTGCCCCTCTGTTACTGGTTTTGTTTAATGATAGATGCCGGTCTAATTACATGTGGAAGCTAAGCAGATTGGAGATTGCATTGTGAGGACATTTTTCTCGGCAGTAATGAGCCGAGCGCAGGGTTTCTAGTATGTCTCAGTTGTAAGCAAAGAGATTCTGTTAGCCTATCAAAATCATCAGCAAGGAATTTAGGCGAGTGAGCGTTGACATATTCAGTCCTGGGCAAGTTTAAGCGACAACAACTTGTTGACAGCTTGTCGATTTTCCCAGGGGACCCATATCCAGGATACCTGACAAAATCGGCCAGTGGTTTGGCAAATGGTTGTATCTCAAATTTGCCCTTGTTAAAAGCAAACCCAAGCCTTACAGGTTTTGTGAGGTGTTTCTGCACTTCAAATACATGGTGACGTTCGTGGTGATCATGTCCCGTAACCAAAAAGAGAACTCAAAATTTTAAGGAGAATCCTCCCAAGATGAAGTCTGCAGTTTCTAAATGGAGCGCTCCACACTGAATGACTCGCTAAGATGCTGAGATTTCCAGCGTCGTAACTCATTCTGGCCAGTTCTGTATGCAGTACTGGAGGATGTCTCTACTCATCCCCATGCTGGAGTCATGCCCGCACAGTTCGTACTGGCAGAAAGCTCCACAGCTTTGTCTCAGATTTAAAAAAAAAACAGAAAAGCATCTTACAAATGACCACCATAGGTCAGCATTCGTGAAGTCCACCTTTCTGAAGGACAGTGGTTGTATCTTGTTATTTACAAGAAGGTTGGTGCTTAGCGTAGCGCCTAGCATAGGACAAGTTTGTTGTGGAGTGATACCCTTGGCAAGTGGTTCAATTGTTCCTCCAATGCTTTTAACATCAGCCACTGCAGCGAGAGATCACTGACTACCGGCCCAAGATCGTGGAGGTCAACAAGGTCGGGGCAGCCCTGGACAACCTGATCCGAGAGGTGATGGCCCCCGTGGATGCCAGACGCCACTACTGGTCCTCCCAGATCGGTGCTCAGCTTCAGACAGACTGGCAGCCACAGAAGGCCAAGCCCAGGGAGCCGGCCGACCAGGTGGACAAAGGCTTCCTGGAAGGTAATGGAGGGGTTTTTGCTTACAGTCGGGTACAGGTTATTCTTTGGTTCCATTCATGTGTGTACATATGCTCGGCTAAAAAATCCAAGACAACAGCCTCTGATGAAGATTACCAGTCTGACAAATGTCTTTCTTTTAAAACTTACTACCGAGTGACTGTTAAGAAGTCGTCCCCTGTCAATCTCATCCTCTATCACATTGTACACTGATGAGCAGTAATTTTTCTTGGCCTGTGCTTGATGATAGAGGCTTGTTCTTAGCAAGGCCGTATGTGGGTTGGGTTTTCACCACATGATTATTTGGGCTTTCCTGAGACTGATAAATAAGTTTGAGCCTGAATGTTTGTTACCTTGTCAGTTTAAGTACTTTGAAATGTTAAGTAGAAACTAAGAGAGACCCATCTAGCAATTATTTACGGAATATGACTTCATGTATGGTAGAATTTCGGACCATTATTTAGGTTTTTTGCCGTTATTCAGAGGACACAGAAGTTGAGAAGGAACTGGAGATCATCAACCGTCGCTACGATGACCTGGATCGCCACCTGACGGATGTGCTAGAGGACCTGCGCATCGTCCGCCTCTGGGCCGACAAGGTGGAGTCAGTCCAGACCATGCAGGAGTGGGTGAACTCGGTGGAGGTCCGACTGACGGAGACCAAGCCGACCAGCCAGGAGCTGATGCCACTCAGCAGGGAGCTGGAGAAGTACCAGGTGAGGTTTTTGTCAGAATGTGCACAAAAAACAAAGCAGGCCTGCTCTGATACCCATCACAGCAGGCCTGCTCTGATGGGTATGACACGCTGCTGTCCATTTGAGAATAGTGTTGGAATGGCTTGCATTACCCACTGGGAACTCTGGCCTGTGGTGGTTGGAAGATTGCCAGTTTAGGAATAGCTAGGAAGTAGGTTGGCATAGTATATCCAAAAGGAATATTGAGAATTAGCTTGGAAAGAGCTGAATATTTAGATGTTGATATTATATTTCTCTCACACATGGGATGGAATGTATTTTCTGTTCGTTCCAAATCAAAGTTGGAACACCTGTGAGTAGTCTCCAAAGGCAGGAAAACCAGTGTTTGACAAAAGTTGCTTTTAGCCCAAGTTGAAAAGAGTTCTCAAGAAGCCTAGGTTTGCGGTCATGAAAAAAATGATAAAAACCATCGTCAAGTATTAAATCCTTTCCTTCCACCAGCCTGTCCACACAGAGGTGACCGACCACCGCCCCATCATCCTGGAGGTGGTGCACAGCGCCGAGCAGTTCCTGCGTGACCACCGTGACCGGCTCTCCCCAGAGCAGCAGAACAAGCTGAAGCTGATGACCAACGACCTGCGCGGCACCTACGAGCAGGTGTCAGTCAAGAGCAACGACTGGCTGAAGGAGGCCCAGCTGCTGATAGAGACGCTCAAGTCACAGGAGGATCAGCAGGTCAGCGCTCAATACTGGCCCCATCCCCTGTAACCTGCCTCCCACCCCTTAACTCCACCCACTTACCCCCGAAACAGATCTCTGAATAAGTTAAGAACAAATTCACAATTTTTTTCCCCACAGGTGGAGATCGAGGACAAGCTGAACGCCGTCATGAAGTCCCTGACAGACCAGCTGGAGTGGGTGACGCAGGCTGAGAGACGCCTGGGTTCGGAGCAGCCACTTAGCGAGGAGTCACAGCCCCTGTTGTCACAGCAGCAGGACCACAAGGTACTCAGTCAGAGCACTGTGTGGTTGGAAGTGTAGCTAACCCTATGTAGTCTGCTCACTATAACCAGGCAACATGGCTACAGCACTCGGGCAGCACTGATCTGTGCATGTGATTTGTGCGTGATGTAGATGACCAGTTTTCAACTTCAGAAGTTGTACCTTGTTTGACCACTGTAAACATTGATTACTTTTGGTTTTCTATTATTTGACAACTTCTCGGAATCGAACTATGGTATTGACATGCTTCTAGTCCCGAAATACAGAAAGTACAGGTGTCATTACAGTGTAGATTTGAATAAGGCATTTATGCCTATAGAAAGTCCAAGCAAGTTTTCATAATGTAATGACTGTACATTACCTCTTTCTCTGTTACTCCATTTTAGGTCATCCACGATGACATCCAGGCCCACCAGAACCCGGTGCTCCAGGCCATCCAGGAATGCCAGTCGCTCCTGCGCCAGCACACCCAGAACCTGCGGCCGGAGGACCAGACCAAGTTGACGGAGCTGCAGTCGGAGCTGCGCGCCCGCTACGAGGCCCTGTCGGCCGAGTCCCTGGGCCACACCAACAAGCTGCGCTTCGCCGCCGAGGACCTGCCGAAGCACGAGGAGGAGGTGTCAGACTTCGAGGACTGGCTGCTGTCAGCTGAGCAGACACTGGAGTCATCATTGGCCAGCAAGTCCAAGGCGCCCGACGCCCTCAAGAAGGAGTATGGCCAGCAGCGGGCCTTCACTGAGGACGTGATCGCTCACGCCGCCGACTTGAAGTTTGTGGTGAAGGGTGGACAAAAGTACCTGGACTCCGCCAAGGTAGGGCCCCAACTCATTTCATAGAGGGCTTTATTTCTGCATGAATATCTGTATTTGAAAGGTGTCCCTTTTTGTTGAGAATTATTTCGCAATAGCCTTAATATGCTCAGATTGCAATCAGATCTCAATCACAGAAGTGGAAAACTAATTTGTCCATGTTTAGGGACTTCATTGAAACTTACAGTTTAAAGAAATACTCATCACCATCTCCTCCAATACCAATATTTGTTGGAGCTTTCATGACTATACCAAAGCAGTTTCTTCAGAAACTTTTTGTATTTCTCATGAATGCCTCGTCAACTAACATTAAACACTGAACACAGAAAATTTTCTTACTCTGTAGCTACTCTAGCTTTCAGATTACTTCTGTGATGCTGTGCTGACGTGAAAGGAATTTCCGTTTATTTCTTTTCTCTTTCCAGACTGATTTTTCTTTGCTTGAGAGTGTTGGCATTCCTTTTTCCTCCTGATTGTGCGACAAAGCTTAGCCCATTACTGCTTGACTGTAGGAATAATAGGGAAATCTGTTATAAGTCTAAGTAATGAATGGATGTAACGCAGGGAAAATTGTTTTGAATAGGTTTACCGCCAAGACCTGGCTGTCTATCGAGACGCTGCCCTACCCCGCCAGTTTACCCGCTCCTACACTGAGAACCCTGAGACCAACATCATCTCCAACAAGCTGGCAGACATTGGCGGCCGCTACGAGCGGCTGAAGGCGCGCAGCACGGAGCACACCGCCCAGCTGCGGGAAGTGGTGGAGAAGCAGCAGCGTTTCAGCGACCTGGCTGACAATTTTGCCAGCTGGCTGCAGGAGAAGGAATCCACACTGAAGTCATACCTGAGGGAGCCCATTGGGGCTGACCCCGCCACCGTGCAGAAGCAGATCGACCGACTCAAGGTAGGCTCCAATGTCTGAGCTTGGACCTCCAGTTTTGCACCCCGTTAGATCATGGATAAAGCTGTGTTGTAAGTCAGTACTTGCCGATAACCTTTTTTCACCATACTGAACTATTTGTTATGAACACATGAAGAAGGACATTGATAGCATACAACCAAGGACGTTAGCTAAATATAGAAGCAAATGTTACCATACATTTTGTACACAAGGCGACGCTCAAAGCCAAAACATAAGTCTGCTTCTAGTAGTAAAAACATGAGTTAGATTTTGCTTTTTATCAAGCTGCATAGAGGGTCACACTTCAGCAACGGAAATCTAGCAACAAGATATGAACAGACATCTCTGCAGCATTCCCCATACGGGGAGATTTTTGGTATTAGAGATTGATTGAAATGGCTCAGGCGTAGATGAGTGACTTGTGTTTTACATTTTCATCCGGCTGTAGATTGTGCGCGACGAGGTGGTCCTTCACCTCAAGGACATTGAGAAGACTAAGGAAGCGGGACGGGACCTGGCAGACGCCAAGCCCTCGCTGCAGGCAGACATCGACAAGCAAATCAGTAAGTAAATCTCCTTCGGGAAGGGGTTTTCCCTGAAGACAGTGGGGTGAAACCTTGTTTTGAAGAGGTTGCAATGGAACTCGGATATTCTGAGGTATCCCACAGATTCAGGTTTTGACTGCAAAATTTGACCCAGTTTGCTGCAAGTTTGTTGAACTCAAGGCCAGATCTTAGGATCGAAGTAAACTTCATTGCATTAATTATCATAGTTGAAATTGTAACAAGCCTGTTCAAAGATCAATCACAGGTAAGAGGGTAAACGGTGACAGAGTAATGCTTTTTCACCCTTCATTTTAATAGCTTTTGATTTGCTTCGACTGTTGGGAATGACTCAATGACAACACTAATTCCATATTTACAAGTCCTGTCCCCCTGGCAAATTTGTTCCAATGTTCAAATTGTTGTTCCCTGTCTTCTTTCAGATGAACTCCAGCGTCGCTACAACGACCTGGACGGACAGATCAAGGACCGCAGCCAGCAGCTGCAGAATGCCCTGACCCAATCGCAGGACATCCAAGACAGCCTGGACAGCCTGCTGCGCTGGCTGGACGAGGCCGAGCGGGACGTCCACAAGATGGAGAAGGGCACGGTGCTGGTGGTCAAGCGCGACCCACTGGTGGAGAACTTGCAGAAGGAGAAGGTCAGTGGCACTTCCATCTCTGGAAACCTCTGTTGGATGTACTGTCAAGTTTGCCATCCATAACCATGTTTAGATCACATGGCTATGGCTGACAGTGGTATGGCAGTGCATGGAAGCTGCTGGCTAGCCACTGCTACTATTTCCCATAATACTGTGTGTTATTGTTAGCCATAGCCTGTAATGTGGACGGCCCTTGTTTGTGTTCACTTTATACCTGATGTGAATGTTGTAACATTCATGTTCTAATAATCCTTTGCACATAACACCTGTGGTAATCCAGAAAGTGTATCCGTAGATATTCGTTTTTGACTCCTGAAATGATGGGCTATGTTAACCACTGTGATGTATGTGCATTGTTTCTGAGGCAGTTTTGTTCTGATAACGTTTGGAGTAGAAAGCAAATATCTGGAACCTTGTTTGTAATTGAAAAATGCTCCCAGTCAAGTACAAAATGTCTCATTTCAACATGCAGTTATTTCCTTCAAATGGACATTTGGCAGAGTGAGACGGAAGTCACAGAAAAGGTCAAAGAAAACAGACTAATACTTAAATAGCAATTGGATATTTGGTCATGAAATATGGAAACAGTACATTTATTAATGTGTGAGGATGGCATAGAGTTACTCTGGTTACACTTCACTTTGGGATTACTTTTTACCACGGTCTATCAAAACAGGACACTGAGGAAGGCTTTTTTTTTTATTGTGTGCTCGTTATCTTACAGGTGGTGGAGGACGACATCATCAGCCACCAGCCCAGCGTGGACACCATCAATCAGTCGGCCAGCAACCTGATCAAGACCAGCGAGTCCAAGGTGGCCAAGACCCTGCAGTCCAAGCTGGACGCGCTCAACGCCCGCTACTCCAAGGTCAGCCAGGCAGCCGACCGGCACGGCCAGATGCTGCAGTCCATGTTCGAGCAGCTCAACAGCTTTGAAGCGGAGGTGGACCAGTTCGAGGACTGGGTGCTGCCCACGGTGGACGCCCTGGAGTCGCGGGAGATCAGCCGCATGGACCTGAACGAGTGCGACAAGAAACTCAAGGTAGGCGACAACTTGGTCAGCATTTTTTTTTACCCCGACTGTTATCCAGTTGGTCCTGTCTTGTCAACTTGCAGCTTCAGAAATTCAATTTATAATGACCACTGCTACTTTCAGCATTTGTATTTAGATATTTATATACACAAACTACAATTGCTTTAATCTACTCCCATAAGAGTTTCCATGTTTCCTGTGAAACATGTTCGGAAAAACATGGGCTTGAGATATTATAATCATTAGATGAAGCAAAACAAGAGCTCTCTAACGGAACACAGGACAGTTTATTGCTAGTGCTGTCATGTGTTTGAAAAGGTTGTGAAATCTGAACAATTTCAAGGAATTAAGTGAACTGCAGAGACACTGTTGGATGAAAGCTTGAAACTTTACCCTCTTATTGAAGGAGGAAGTACAGTTTATTTTATATAAAATCGTCATCGATACTTTAAAAAAGACCTCTTGATACTTTTTCGAAACAGACAATCAAGCAAAAGCTCAGCGACCACCGCCAGGCCCACAAACGCATCCACCAGCAGGGAGAGCAGCTGGTGCGAGACCCCAAGGCCAACGACGCATCCTACATCACGGCTGTCCTGACCAACGTGGACGCCAACTGGCGCACGCTGGAAGAACTGCTGGTCAAGAGGTAGAAAAATGACTCACAGGAGTAGGCTGTACACTTGAGAATAAATTGGCAAAAGAGCAATCAGTAACTAAACTTCTAGACAACATTGAAACTGCTGTGGCACATTGCATAATTCAGTTTTTCAATTGAGTTAAATTTGTGGAAATAGAGGAATTGTCTACTCTAATATTCAAACAATCATCCAAGTTTCTATCATTCAACCCTCAGGAGCAAGCAGCTGGATGCCAAGATGAAGGCTTCCAAGCGCTATGCCCAAGCCAACAAGGACACCACCAACTGGCTAGATACCATGGAACACAAGGTGGCCCAACTACAGCCAGTTGCCCACGACATTGTCACCCTCAACACACAGATAGAGCAAGTCAAGGTTAGTAGCGATCAACATTTCCTCTCTCTAATGGAGAACAAACTGAGTTTGCATTTCATTCACAAGCAGTGTAACTGATTTAGTATCCTTGCCCTTGTGTTTTGAGAAGAAAGTGAGTCTAGTTTCCGGGATTTTGTCAGCGAATCTCTGCATCTGTTTCTTTGTTCTTTCCCCTTTACCAACAGCCACTGAAAGCTGACGTGGTGGCTTACAAACCCAAGATTGTGGAGGTCAATAAGTACGGCCACAACCTGGACAAGCTCCTGCGCGATGACGACATGGCCATGACCATGCGGCCCCGCTACCGGTCACTCCAGATAGGCACCGCGCCCATGAGTGAGCAGCCACGCAAGCTCTATGATGCTCCTGACGTGAGCGAGTACACCGGAGAAGGTAAGATCTGTTTGACGGAAAAGAAGCTACTTTTGTTAATTGAGAATACATTGGTACTGTGTGGAGTCTGTGAAGATTGGCACTGTCTGGCATACTCAAAAGAACCAAGGAGTGACGCATTGCACATGTATTGATTTGCTTATGTGATTGGCATTGAGCACATGTGACCAGTTTTCAACTGAATGTGCACAACCAGTTTTATATTTGTGTGAGAGGAATGATGCTGGGCGTGAGTGCTCAATGGAAGTAGTACTTGCATATCAGTATAAGCATTGACAGTTTTATCAATGAGGTTGTACATCTGCACATAGTCGAATCCACATTGTAAGCCATTGGCTGTGTCCTGTTCATCTGGGTTTGGTTGTCAATAACACAAATACCTATGAGAAACCGCTGTAGCCACAAGGCAGCTGCCTTCCATAGATGCACATCCTATAGCTGCAGCCAAAACATTTAGATTTGGCTCATTATTGAGCATGAATAGAATTTTCCATGCGGGTACATGTCCCATTTTGAAGATTCACTTAAGTGCCAGTCATCTTTCTGGAATGCCTTGAAATTTCTCTCATCTTGACTCAACGCAGAGGAGACCAAGATCCAGCGAGAGCTGACTGACATCAACAAGCGCTACGAGGCCCTGAAGGTCAAGCTGGGCGATCGGGACGAGGAGCTGGAGCTGGGCAAGGCCTACCTGGAGAAGAGCGGCAACATGAGCGGCCTGATGGACTGGGTGACAGTCACCGATGCCCGGGTGGTGGAATCAGCACCCAGGAGCAACGACATGGACGAACTGAACACAGAGCTCAAGACCAGCAAGGTATGATGGATATCTCCTATGGATAAACTGCCGAGGGCACTCGTTAGCCACAGGTTATTTGAGACCAGCATCAGGCACTGTGATAGCCTTTCACAAACCAAATGTGTTTTCCATTTTATAGGCTTTTCATTTTTTCTTAATTTTTTTCTTCTGGTAACTTATCCAAATAGTATGTCTGCAAAAACCGAGTCCCCAAAGAAACGTCATTATCAAGTCACAATGAGGAATTCCAAATGATGCAAGTATGTAAGGCACATGCAGTTTTAGAAAAGTTGCTGATCACGTCTTTTTAGGAGGATGTGTTGGTCTTATAAGGTTGCAAGACAAAGCAGTAATCGTTACAATAGTATCATTTTCAAAGCTGCATACTTGTCATGCTCCCTATTCTTAAAAGAGCATCATCCATTTAATGCTTCACCATCTCTGTCAGATAGCAGCAACTCTACCAAACAAATAAACTTTCCATCACAGACGTTGCACTCCGACATCGACAGCAACAAGGTAGCCATCCTGGATGCCATCCACACCACAGACCAGCTGCTGAAGGACAAGCGTAGCAAGCTGACACCCAAGCAGGTGGAGGACCTGCAGCAGCGCAGCAAGGACTTGCGGGGACAGTACGACCTGCTGACCCGGCGCTCTGAGGACGTCTGCAAGCAGACAGAGGACACCCTGAACCGGATGAGGATCGAGATGGAGGAACGGGTGGGTATCTGAGCACATGTTTTCAGAGACTTCTTGGAGTGCCTTACATGTCATATCGCATGTCATATCACAAGTCACATCAAATGTCAAATCACAAGTTAAGTAACTTATGTCACAAGCCCAAATCACATGTCATATTGCAAGTCAAATCACATGTCATTTCACAGGTCAAATCACGTAATATCACATGTCAAATCACATCATATCACAGGTCAAATAATATGTCATATCACATGTCTGTAACAAGTCCAGTCACGCCTATGATATCATATCACAAGTCAATCACAAATCTGGTTATGTCACTGGAAGAAAGAAACAGCCAAACTTTACTTCAAATAACTGCTGCTTAGACTACTTAAAAGATGCAAAGTTACCTATCCTCAATTCTTGTATCAACTCATTCCATTTCTGGGATCTCTTTTTACCTTGCAGGTGAGGCTGAAGACAGACTTTGATCAGCTGACCACTGAGCTGAATGACCTACTGGACTGGGTGACCAAGGCAGAGCACCAGCTGGGATCAGAACAACCACTCAGCGAGCAGACCAGGCCCCTGAATGACCAGTACAACAAGCACAAGGTCAGTTGACAGACCAGGGCCAAGGTCGAGTCCATCACAGGGCCAGTCAAAAGTCCTTTCACAACACCAGTCACAAACAGGGTGTGCAAATCAGCAGGAACCCCTAACGTTTTACACCCAGATGATTTCAATTTTCATCTGGACATCAAACTGAGAGATACATCAAATCTAAGAGCTTAGAAACAAAGTTATCAAAAATATGACCTTAAGACTCATTTTGTGGGATCCGGCCACTCTGGGTAAACTTTCTGATGGCGTTCTTTTTTCACCTGAAAAATGTGCATCTTAACATGTGAGCAATCGTGTTTTTGTCACAGACTCTTCACGAGGACATTGTGTCACACCAGGGCCCTGTTCTGGAGACCGTCCAGGAGGCCAAACAGCTCCTCAAACAGCGCGGTGACAAGCTGGCTGAGGATGACCGCGCTGCCCTGCGCAGCGCGGCCGACTCGCTCAAGGCCCGTTACGAGGCCGTCAACGTGCAGTCCAACACCCGGCTGAGCGCTCTGCGCTTTGCCACCGATGACCTGCAGAAGCTGGAGCCGGAGATCGGCGAGTTTGAGGAGTGGCTTCGCACCACTGAGCAGGTAGGGCACTGGCCTGTCTTTGCACAAGTTAAGTTTTGCCTGTTGATTTCGTGCCCCTTTTTTTGTTTGAAAAAATTGACGCATCTCATTCTTTTTTTTTTCTTCGCAAAGCAATTGGAGTCTTCGCTGCGTAAGATCGAGACCGACCCAGATGCCCTGCGAGACCAGTACACCGCTCAGCGGGATCTGACGGAGGACGTGCTGACCCACGGCGCCGACCTGAAGTTTGTCAACATGACAGGACAGGCGTTCATCAACAACGCCAAGGTGAGTAATGGGTAACCAGTCGGAATGCCTGTGAAGTTGCTTGTGCAGCACTTGGTCCATTTGAATTCTGCAGAAATTGACAAGAACGTATCTCGTCATTAAAAGAAAGTGAGTACAGAACAACGCAGTTACTGAATTAAGTTTATATTCATTCTCAGGAGTTCTCAAAACTAAACTAGTTAAAGGAGAGGAAGAAGATATTTACCAGCTTTGACACGTTGTTTTCACATGTTTGAAAATAATTATTACCATTTTTTATTTGAATTATTAACAATCATCCAGCCATTTACTTTAGAAATGTAACTTAAACTGTACAATCTTTATCTTTGTGTTGCAAAAAATAGCTGATGTTATCAGTGGATGGTTATTTATGTATTTTTTGTTTTGCCTTTCCTACGTTATTGCAGCGCAGAGTCTGAATATTTTTGACATACAGTAGTTTGATTGACTGTAGTGTATTATAGGTTTAACAGTTGATTTACTGGGGGCTTTTTACATGATCAGACTTACCGTGAAGAGCTGGCCGACTTCCGCACCACTGCCCTCCCCCGCCAGTTCAGCCAGACCTTCAGCGAGGCGCCCGACTCCCACGTCCTGCGCGACAAGCTGGGCAACTTGAATGGCCGCTACGAGCGCCTCAAGGCCCGCTGCCTGGGCCACCGGGACCGGCTGGCCACCGTGCAGGAGAAGCAGCAGCGCTACCGCAGCGAGGTGGAGCCCGTCCTGCCTTGGCTGGAGACATCCTACGTCACGCTGGGCAGGATGATCAAGGAACCGGTGGCTGCAGAGCCAGATGCCGTCAAGCAGCAGATTGAGCAACTCAAGGTCAGGACCCCGCCATGATCATATTCATATTCCAATAGGACTTCAATTTTTTATTTCTCCTTTTATTTCCCATTACTCTTATTGTAGATGTCATCATAGATGCATGAGAATGGTACGTTTTGAAGTAAATCCACTGTAAAATTTGCTTTTGACCTCAAAATGTACCATCTTAGAATCCTGCCAGTTTCATAACTTGTACCTTCTTTTGATGTCGGTCAGGCCTTCAGCGACGATGTCCTCCTGCACAGCAAGGACATTGACCGAGTCAAGGACTCCGGCAAGGAACTGTGCGATGTCCATGAAGATGTCAAAAAGGATGTGGCCAAACAGACCCGTAAGTGCTCCATTTGATTTGAAGAAAAGACTTCTGCGTGTGTGTTGTTCTGCTGGATTTGATTTGTTTTCCGGCTCGTCCATTATGAGCTCATTTTGATTATTACTTCAGTTAAGAGTATTTTGAGCGTTGCTTTGCTCAAGCAGCTGACTCACTGACCACACTGAGCATGCTTGTACTCTAAAACAGAGAGAACACAGGTATGGTGAGCCATATCCAGATTATTTGGCAACAGCTGAAAATAATGCGTAAGTCTATGTGAAATGGATGAAGCTGGAAGTTTTCAGCTGCCACAGGCTTATACTTTATGTCTAGCAGTAGCCGAGAAATTCGGACCTGGCCTGACTGATGAGTCTGAGCACAGGATTTCCAGCAGTTCAGAATTTCATCCCCCCAAAAATCCAGTGAATCTGGTTTTCTGTTAAACATCCTGATACCAGGTGATGTGAGCGATCGCTACAGCCAGCTGGAGTCCATGATTGCTGAGCGCAGCAACCTCCTGCAGACAGCACTGACCGAGTCGCACAGCGTCCAGGAGGGGCTGGACAGCCTGCTGGCCTGGCTGGACAACACAGAGGCCACGCTGGACCGGCTGCAGAACCGCACCACGGTCACGCTGCGCCGGGAGCCGCTCAACGACCAGATGCAACAGTACAAGGTTGGGACCCTATTTTCATTAGCTTGGTAATAAGTTTTGTTAGCTTGGTTGTGGTTGAAAGTGCAGCTAAAAAAGTGATTTACCCTAGGTCACAATATATGCCCCATCATGGGATACAAACCCCCAACCCTACAAAACGGAATTACAAATCCAAAACTACGATAGGCCACAAGACCTCTGAAATCATTGACTTCAACTCCTGTCTCAACAGAAACTGGTGGCAGATGTGGAGGCCCACAAGCCCAGCATCGACAACGTCAACAAGTCGGCAGGCAAACTGCTCCAGACCTGCGAGCCCTCAGTGGCCCGCGCCGTCAAGTCGCGGCTGGACGACCTCAACTCGCGCTTTGCCGCCCTAGAGAAGCCCGCCCGGGATGGCTGCGACTTCGTGCAGCTGCTGACTGACCGGCTGAACCGCCTGCAGGACGAGGTGGACAAGCTGGAGGACTGGCTGATCCCGGCCCTGGACTCGCTGGAGGCACCCGATGTGAACAGGATGGACGTCTCAGAGCTCAGCGGTGTCCTGAAGGTAAGGCTTTAAGTGGAGTTGGGGGTTGGGAGGATATCTATCATAATTTCTGATTCATATTCATGGAGGATGATGGAACCAAGCTACCAGTTTCATGAGGCAGCTTGGCTAAAAAATCTTACTGATTTTTTTATTGAGAAAAAAGCAGGCTGAACCTGTCCCTTGTTGGATATATTGCATGACAATGCACCCGATAATTCTGCAGGGCCAAGGATTATCTTGTGCTTGGGTTGTCCCACAGGTGCATGATTGGACCGAAACTCGCTGGGAAGGTTGGCTGTAGTTCACAAGACTTAACTCTGCGGTTCCTCTGTGTGCTTGAAGTTTTCCTTTTGATATTGCGCTCAAATGCAAACAGTGCGATTTACAAGTGTTCCTTTGAAAACTGATGGGATGGTTTGCTTCAGTTTTCTGTGTTTTGCAAGTTTCTGTATTCCACAGGGCAGTAGAATGCAGCTACTTGGAGAAGTTTAAGCCATGTCCGAAACAGGCCTCCAGGGCTATGGCTAGGTCTATTGTCTGCACATCTTCAAGACCTAGACCTAGCTCTAGACAACAGATTCGGATGCAGCCTTAGTTTGCTAAGGGGGCATGATCTGTCCTTAAACATTGTCGTCATTCCTTTAAAGTTGCACTGGCATGCTGTTCACATTTGCTTCCAGGACGTACAAGACCAGATGGACCGACAACGGCCCCAGTATCAGCTGATCCACCAGCTGGCCAATGAGCTGACCAGCGAGAGGAAGGTCAATGACCCCGGAGCGGTCAAGCATATTGTCCGCAACGTGGACGACAACTGGAATGCCCTGATTGAGCTGCTGCAGTTCAGGTCAGTTCCCCCCCTCCCCCATCCCTGCTAGTCAAATCTTACCTAAGCCATACAGCGACTGAGTTTTATAGTGGGGGTTTTTTAGCACTGAAAGACAACACAAGACATGATAGTTCACTCTCTAAACACCATGGCTCCAGTTGGCTTCATCGGTCCAGTCCCAAATTACAGGATGAACGAGGAATACTTTTATTACGGTTACATTCGAGTATCTTGTTACATTGTTTGACCTATAATGGACTAGCGATAGACCATAGACTTGTTTACGGACTCCACTATAGCCCTAGGGAACATTTTCTTCAGGAAGGAAATGGATTTTTGGAAAACAGTTTCCTCATTAGTCAATCAACTGAAGGATTGTTCAAGTGTGATCTTTCTGACAGATCCTATGTTATCTAAAATAATCAGCTCTTCTGCCTGAAAGTGTTTCCACAATGAATAGTACCATTTCCGTTTTCATTGTTTCAGGCAAAAGATGTTGGAGGAGCGTCGCCAGGCCCAGAAGTTGTACAACGAGAGTCTGAAGGACGTCAGCACCTGGCTTATAGGCATGGAGCGGCGCTTCAACCAGTTCCAGCCCGTTGCCAAGGACATGGAGACCATCAAGACACAGTACGATGAACTCAAGGTAAGCGTCCGTGTCTGCAATAGCCATCTTTGGAGGTAAGATCTTGGAAAGAAGGCAACACTCAAGCCATTGAAGAAAATGTTTATTTATCAGTTTGGAAACAAACAACAAGTTGGGCAATTCAAGCCAGAAAAGTGATTCAAGCCAAGATTTGGTGACTTAAGACTTTGTTTGCTCTCAATTTAGCAGTATCACAGTAAAGTCCATCAAAAGTCCTTTCACTAGCCCCTTCATTAATCCGTTCTCACGTCCTTGCACAAGACCTGACATGAGTAACAGGGTGAACAGTGGCGAGGGGAATGCTTCATCTCGTTCATATGAGTATCTTGTGTCTTGACTCAAGATATGACTCATTATGGACTTCAGGAATTTGTGATGGACTTGCAGGGACTTGTGATGGACTCGACTACAATTTAGCTCCACCTTTTTACTGACATGTGTCCTGCATCGCAAGCAAATTTCCGAACCCTCTTCTAATGTTCTCCTTTTACTCCACAGCCCATGCGACGCGAGGTGGTGGAGTACCGGCCCAACGTGGACCAACTCAACGACCAGGGCACCCGGTTGGACACCCTGATGCGGGGCATCACCGCTGCCCCGACCCGCCCCCACCGACGCTCATCCCAGATCATCACCTCCACCCCCAAGCCCGACCAGGCACCTGCCAAACGGGCCCGCGCCAAGAAACCATTCGAGGAGGCCAACATCAGCGGCCTGATCGAAGGTGGGATGGCAGTGCTTACTTGTTTTTTGTCTTTTTGTCTCATGTTTTTTTATTTTATTTCAGCGTAATAGGTAACAGTTAAATGGGTTGAAGAGGTTATTCAGTAGATTACAGTCTGATGGAGGGAAATTTGATTGTTTCTGAGAAATGAAACTGTGAGGCTGATTGAAGACGAAAGTAAGAGATTTTTTTAATGAGCAAGGGTCCTGGTTTGAATTCTGTTGACGACTTTTAGTTGATGCAGTTTGTGATGCAACTTTGTTGCAAATCACTGAAGACAAGGAGAATTAACAGAAATTAATCACAAAGTTGTGATCAAATAAGATGAACCAAAAGTGACTCAAGATGATCTCAGAACCCAAACTTTGTTGATGTTATTTCTTGACATTATTTCTCATGTTTTTTTTTGTTTCTCTCATTCAGAGGAGTCTGAGATCCAACGCCAGCTGGCTGACATCAACCGGCGCTACAACGCCCTGGACGTCAAGATTGACGACCGGGACGACGAGCTAGACACGGCGCTGGCACTGGCCGACCGCACCAAGCCCGTGGAGGACCTGCTGGACTGGGTGACCACCACCGAAGTCCAGATGGCCCAAGCGCCGCCCCCACCAGGGCTAGACCCGCTGGCCGAAATGGAAGAGGAGCTCAAGGCCATCCAGGTAAAAAAAACGAGAAAACAAGCGGCCAAAGTGTGGGTATTCTAGCTCTTGTTGGAGAAAACCCATTTGTGCTCATAGGTTTTCAGAAAAGATTCGATAATGGTTGGAGATCTTGAAAGAATTATCAAGGCCAATTTAGAGACACAGACGCTAATACACAAAAAGCCCTGAAGCTGTTTTCACCCAAGATATCAAAGTGTCCAAGGCCGTGTCCGAAATGGGCTTCCAGAGCTACGGCTAGGTCTATTGTCTGCGTGTCTCCATGCATTTCCAAGGGAGCGAAGGCCTAGACCTAGCTCTAGACAAGAGATTCGGATGCAGCCTCAGGCAGGATGTACTAAATTCTTACACTGTGTGCTTCCAGTAGCTAAGGTCAAATTAATGGCAAGGTCTGTGCGTTTCCTTGTGTGATGAGAGGTTGGAACTTCCATTTAATCCACTGGATGCCTGCAGTGTGCTCAAACAGTTGGCACTTAATCAACACGAGAAGAAAAGTTTATCGTAGTCGCCCATTACTTTTTGGTTATAAGGCTAACTGTTGACAGTACATATTTGATATGAACTTGTCAGTAGTAGTTCTTTGTTTTGCATGCCTTCCTCATCCCCAAGAAGATCTTGTTAGGTACACCAATTACCTGGGCCCTTTCTTTTCAGATTTTGTAAAACAATGGCCCCTAAAGCTATTATCCAGGAAAGGGTGTACAGAACTGGTACGGTTGTGCTCAGTTGAGATTTTATCTTTGTCTCCAACCCAAGGCCGTGGAGGAACAAGTCAACTTCACCCAGGCGCCCGTGGTGGAGGCCTCGGCCGGCGCCCTCAACCTGATCAACGAGAAGGCCAAGAAGCTGCGGCCTGAGCAGCAGGAGCAGCTGCAGAGCAAGAACAACGACCTGAAGACGCGCTACGACAAGCTGGCCACCGACGTCAAGTCCCGCAAGCAGCACCTGGAGTCCAACATCAGCCAGATGCGAACCCAGCAGGAGGAGCAGGTAGGCCCAAGTTGCAGATGGGTCCCACGGTCAGCTGTGAAATTGACCAAAGGGGGGGGTTGTGTCCAGAGAAGCCAAAACTATGCCCAGAGAGGTCCATTTAAGAAACTCTGTCCAGAGAGGCCCTATTAAGAAACTCTGTCCACAGAGGCCCAAGTAAGAAATTGTCCAGAGAGGCCCAGTTAATAAACTGTCCAGAGAGGCCCAATTGAGTGAAATGTCCAGAGAGGCCCAATTGAGTACACTGTATTCAGAAAGTAGTTTTGAATCAATGATGACTTGGCCAAATTGAATTTAGCCAAATGCTCGACCGTACCCTGCCATTAGGAAATGTCACAGGAAATATGACTACTTACTTCACTTACATTCAGGGTCTAGTCATTTCTTTTCCAACTCCAGTAGGTGCTCCGAAACATGTAAAACAATGGCAACAAAGCCTCAGAAGCAGGGCAGTAGGGTCTAGACTTTTGATTTTGGCTCAAATGTCAAGGGATTGAACAATAAAGGTATACCGAAATGTCCAAGTATTTTTGCAGAAGGACTTGCCCAGAGACCCACGCCTTAGTCCTTTTCCAAACCATTGATCATTGCTTAAATACTTGTGTCAAACGTTCTTATCTACTGTTAACTCAACATGCAAATTTCAACAATCAAGCTGCATTTTCCAATCAGTAGCCCCATGAAAATGTGACTATGGCAGGAAGGGGTTTTACTATTTCCCAAAGGTCAAGTCAAAGCCATGCTGTTATTTTTTTTTCTTTTATGATTGACTCACCAGTCTGCCATGAGTCGTCGCCTCAAGGACGTCGGAGGCGCACTACAGGAGAACCTGGACTGGCTGACGCAGACAGAGCAGAAGCTGGGAGCTCAGCAGCCAATCAGTGAACAGATCAGGTCGCTGACCAGCCAACTGGACAGACACAAGGTGAGCAAGCAAGAGATTCCAAGCGATGTAACTGTTTAAAAACTTGAGAGATTTAATTGACAACAATCAGGCATCTGTTAGTGTTATTTTGACACTGGTCAAAGCAGGCAGATACTGGGAAATTGATTACTGCATTCTGAAAGTAGATGGAGAAATAACATTTTCTTTAATTTCATATTAACCAAAAGCAGCGATAAATGGTACATCACCTAACCTGAGGTGAAGATAGTTTTAAACAAGTGCCATAGCTGGAACTGCAGAAGTTAAGTTTGTGAACCACTTACAGCCACTTTCACCACTGTTAGCCAAGAAGGTCGAGGGTTGTTGCCTCAGTTCAGATGCTTGATATTCACTGATTCGTTTGAAGTTTTAGAGTTAAATTTCCATTGTTGCTTTTCTGTCAAGGTACTGCGTGATGACATTGTGGCCCACGACCAGCCCATCAACCAGACAGCAAGTGACGTCCAGCACCTCCTGCGTGACTTCGGCGGCAAGCTGCGGCGCGAGGACGAGTCCTTCCTGCGGGCAGGCCTAGACGATCTCCGGCCCCGCTATGACGAGGTCAACCGCCAGTCGCTCACTCGCCAGAACAAGCTGGAGTCGGCCCTGGACGACCTGGAGAAGTACCGGGAAGAGTTTGACGAGCTGGAGGAGTGGCTTAGGGAGGTGGAGAAGACGCACGATGCCCTGCAGCGGGCACCCGGCCGCGACCTGGCCGCACTGAAGAAGCAGGTGGAAGAGGAGAAGCGCATCATGGAAGAGGTCAGCGACCACAAGGGCGACCTCAAGTTCATCCAGAGGTCGGGTCACAAGTTCCACGACAATGCCAAGGTGAGTGTTCCCTTCCCGGGCAAGAATCCCAGATTTTGTTTCTGCGGCCAACTTGTTATTAACTGATCATCGACAGATTTTGAAATGACCTGCTTGCTTTTGGTATCCAAAATGTGCTAAAAAGTAACATGTTAAACACAGAGAACGAAACACTAGCACATCTGTACAACATTGTTTTTGAAAGCAGCATTTTACACTACAGCGAGCAAAAATGGACATTAGAGCAAAAACGTAACGTGGCATTGCCTTTTTACCAGCTGAGAAATTGTTACACGTTGTGTTGTTCTTGTAATAACAAAGTTAAATATACTCCAATGTTTAACAAGTTTTTAATGAACTTCTTAAATTAAGTATCATTTTCTTTTTTGCAAATATTGACCGTTGAAACTCAGTTTCCTAAACATAATGACCATACTCTTCTGGTGAATGTGGGACACTAGCATTGAAATCAGCTGACTTGAAAGTAGAAGATTGCTTTAATGTGCACTCTTGATTTGGGGAAACAACACCCACAGAACTACCGGGACTCACTGACGGACTTCCGCATGTCCACCCTGCCGGCCGACTTCAACCGCACCTTCGCCGAGGCACCCGACTCCAACGTCATCCGGGATGAGATCGCCGACGTCTACGACCGCTACAATAAGTTGCGGACAGGCAGCCGGGCCCACTACAAACACCTGAAGGAGCTGACAGACAAGCAGAACAAGTACAGCAACTCGTGCGCGGTGGTGTTGCCCTGGGTGAACGAAGCCTACCACAAGCTGAGCAAGGAGCTGCAGGAGCCCATCGCTGCCGAGCCCGAGAACGTCCGGGCGCAACTGGAGAGAGTCAAGGTGAGATTGACGCTCTCAAGTTTCACTTTATTGCATGTATTTTACTCACATCTTGTAGTTAAATCCTTTATAGTATTTCTTTCTTGTACGTTCATCCTTTTACTGATCACTCTTTTCTTTTTGTCCAGTGTTGAGTATTTCTTATATTTAGCCAATTTTAGAGACTTTCTTCAAGTGTGATATGATGTACAGACCAAATATGAACTTCCCGTAAATTGTCAATTGCAGCCAGTATTTACTTTCTAGTTCTGGCACTTTTGAACACGGGTTCTTATTTTAACTCATGACCTGAACCGCAAGTCTGTGACACGTTTGTTAAGTCCAAGCATTATGAATTGCTCTTTGTGAACCAATAAGGGCAAAGGGGTGCCGTGGCTACTTGAATATGCTCCTCCCCTTTAAAGTTTCTTCTCTTGCCATGTTCAATTCAGTTGTATGCATTGGTCTGCATATACCAATGCTGTCTGTCATTATCAAGAGTCGGTGTAAACTGCCCCGCAGTCTTAAGGGTAGATGAATATTGTTCACCAGGTGGGTTTTTTTTTCTTTTCAGGTGTGTCTATTCCTTCTTTTAATGCTTTTTGTAAATTTAAGTACAAAGTGCGTTGTTGGTCACACCATTGCCTTTCGTGAATGACCGAATGTCTGATTTGTCTCTTTTTTGGGGGGCAGAAACTTCACGATGACATTGTGCTGCACACCAAGGACGTGGGCAAGTTCAAGGAGTACGGCAAGGATCTGGCCGATTCCCAGGACACCGTCAAGGACGAGGTCTTGGCAACCATCCGTAAGTGAAAAACTAAAAGTGGAAAAAGTATCACATGGGTGCTTAAGTTGTGCTTGATTTTTTTTTTATGTTACAACCTCCTTGAAGAAACTCAACTTTTGTTTACTTTGGTTGCACTGGCTTCATTCTGACTACTCTGTTTCAACAAGATTTTATGTAAGCTACGCTGCCTGTAGGGGTTTTGGTTTACAAGACAGATGTAGAGGTACATGTATACTTGAATAGAAATGACATCAAGTTTGGATGAATTTCACCTCAAAGGCTCTGTGGTATTGAATTTGCCTTCATGCTTCCATTTACTCTCTGTATAAACCAGGCTCAGCGTGTTTGAATGTATATATATTGATAACCAGCAAAGCAGCGAAGTATCGAAATCTGCTAAGAAGAGAAACTATTTTTGCGCAGCAAAAGCAGGTTACCGGCCAGAGTGTTGTGCATTGTATATGTCCTTTGACTGGTTCACAGCAGATTTTTGCTTAGCATATATATCTGGTTAGCAGTATTTTCTTTGTGGAACTGGGTCCCAGTGTACATGTTGCTGAAGATTGGTCAAACCACAGTTTACCAAAGGTACTGGGTGAGGCTGTACTGTATTGACTCGAGTAATCACTTCAACCCTCCCTTTTTCCAACTTCCCCTCCCTCCCCCCCCATTCATTCAGGCGACGTCTCGGAGAAGTGCAGCTTCATGGAGTCCCAGCTAGCTGAGCGCACCAACCAGCTGCAGAGCACCCTGGCCCACTCCCACAGCGTGCAGGAGGGCATTGAGGGCCTGCTGCGCTGGCTGGTTACAGCCGAGAAGAACGCCAGCCAAGTGGTCAACAGCCCAGTCTCGGCCAAGAAGGAGGCCATACTGGAGATGATGCAAAATCAGAAGGTCAGGGACCAATCGGTTTCGTCTTTTTCTTTTCTAATCGTTATCTTTTCAGGAGCAGGGTGATAGTTTTGTAAGTATCAGAAAAAAATCTATGTTTTCCTCAGTCTGTTGAAATGATTCCTTTGGTGAGGGGTGGTTACCTGCAATTGGAAGGTTAGGGGTTCGAATCCAGCTGCTTTTTATGCATAGTGTTCTTGGGCAAGCCACTGTCTCTTTCCAATACAAGAGTATAAAAAGGTTTTTGCACCAGTGAGCGAGTATCAAGTTTGTAACTTGCAATTGGAAAGCCGTGGGTTTGAATCCGGCCGCTGCTTCCCACTTTACCTTAACCTGCCTCTCTCCTCATCTAATTTCCCATGTTGCCTCGCTTTTATATAGTACGTCATGACTGACATCGACAGCCACAAGCCCACAGTGGACGCACTGAACGAGACGGCAGCCAAGCTGATCAAGTCCAGCGACCCGGCCGAAGCCCGCCAGACCCAGGCCCGGCTGGATGACGTCAACACCCGCTATGCCAAGCTGAGCAGCAGCGTGCGCAAACACGGCGACTACCTGAGTAAGCTGATGGGCAAACTGTCACAGCTGGAGGATGAAGTAGAGACGTTCGAGGACTGGCTGGTACCGTTCATTGACCGACTGACGTCCAAGGACCTGGGCCGCATGGACCTCCTGGAGCTAGGCACCCGCTTGCTGGTATGTCAGCTGTTTGATTCATATATCCCTCCTAGAATCCACATATCCTTAGTGTTGCGTGATCAGTCTCTGGTAGGAGAAATATCGTACCATACCCTTTCTTCAAAAGGGTCAGTTTTCCAGGATTTCTCTTGATGTCAGGACGTTTAACTCAAAAAAATTCAGATTTCTTAGAGAATAATTTTGCTACCTTGTTACAAAAAAAGTGCAAGATGCACATGATCATAGCCATTTGTTAAAAACTCCCGGAAAAGTTACAGGGTTTTGTATTGTCATCATTGTTGCTACCTGTCTGGTGGACTGTTCATTAATCTCACTTCACCTTCCCAAATCTCACCACACTAAGTTGGCTGCTGATTTGTAAGAGGTGTTAGGTGTTCAGACGTACCCCTGGTACTTTCATCACACTTTTCGGTTGGAGAAAGTTTGAGGCATCACCTCATCTCGATCAAACTTTCAGGTCTCTTCATCCACTTTATTTCCGTAAGAATATTAGGAAACAATTGTTAATGCAGCCCATATAAGATCCTTGTTCCTTCTTAAGCTCACTTCACTGTTTCACTTTGGACAAGCGTAAAAGTACTCTTTGGCGCCGTTTGTTTCAGGACATGCAGCGTGACATTGACAACCACCGCAGCCAGTACCAGGACATCAAGGTGCTGGGCAGCGAGGTGACCCGGGACCCCAAGGTCTCGGACAAGACCCGGGTGGTGGACATGCTGGCCAACCTGAACAAGAACTGGGAGTCGCTGGAGGGACTCATGCAGAAGAGGTGAGAGGTTGGACTTAGAAATTGCCACATGTGTGTCTCTCACTGTTGTCACATCCTGGTGACGTCGGAAGCGAAAAGAGTTTCTTTTCAAATCTGTGTGACTTTGTCTTCACAATTTCTTCTTTGCCTGTAAAAATTGATGTGGCAATGGCTTTGACCAACTGTTGATAAAATGTACAAATTGCAGCTTTTAAAATTCATTTTGGGAGTTTTCAAACAGTTATTCCCTGACCGTGTATTAGATGTCAAATTTTGTAGTGTTAAGGTAGTGTTTCCTTATTCCGTTTCATCCAGGCCAAAAGGACCCAACTACTATCAACCCTGCTTCCCTCGTACATTTGCTAAGGAGCTTTTCAGAATCAACGAAAACCCCATATCTGTGATATTGGAACATTCTTTGTAGTTCGTGTACAAGTGTTCAGCCCTGTGTAACAAAAAGTGAATTTATCTGCTTAAGTAAAATTGGACTGGATTTGCTGACGGTCTGTTACCATCAAAATCAACTCAAAAGGAATCTTGATGCACAGGAGTAGGTGGCGATTAAATTGGCAAGTGTCTTTTTTGTTCACACCAGGAACCGGCAGCTACAGGACCGCCAGGAAGCCCACGACAAGTTCCAGGCACAGCTCAAGGCCGTCCTGGACTGGCTGGAGAAGTTTGAGGACCGGGTGGACCGCCTGCCACTGGTGGCCATCGAACCCGAGACCCTGCAGCAACAAATGGACGCACACCAGGTGGGTGTTTCGGCCCCTCGAAGGCAGACTTGATTGTTCTATCATGTGGCAGCCATTTTGGTCTGGTTCCCTGACCACACGTTTGTCATAACAGTTGTTCCTCACACTTAGCTGGCTTGTATTAGTCTAACATCTGCCTTTTCTGGTCTGATTCACAATTTGTACCACAAGCTGAATTATCGATTTTTATCGAGTGTACCACAAAGACGGTTGTCTTCACCAGCCCTGGAAATCCATCTGGTTCACATTCCCATTTTCGTAGAGCCAATTGATTCTTGAGTTTTGATTGTGAAAGAAAACATGGACCAACAGTGTTCTCATTGGCTAAATCAATTGTCCTGTTGACCAGACCCATGTCAATGTGCCGTCGATGAGATGAGGTTGCTAAGGGACACAAGCAACATAAACAAATTCAAAGAGAGCAGATCTCCTCCAGGTTTTGCATTAGTTACCATAGGGACAAGGTCTACAACTTAGACATCAACTCTAACATCCCGATTTGTGCAATCTTGCCCTCCAGCCACTCCAGACAGAGTACGACAACTACATGAACCGCGTCGACGACCTGAACCACCAGGGCATCCAGCTGGAGTCGCTGACCCAGGACCCAGACCTGCCAGGCATCAGCAAGACCTCGCCCATCAAGCGCTCCAAGCTCTTCCTGTCCATGCGCTCAGACACGCGCAGCTACGACTCCCGTAGCCTGAGCTCCTCCCGCCGCAGCTCCATCGGCTCAGACCTGGACCAGAGTTCCTTCATGCTGGACGACGGTGAGTCCCGATCTCTCTTGCTGATCTCTGAATTTTTTGAACTGTTTCTTGCCAGGTCATCTGTAAAGTTGCCCTGTGGCATGGTCCGTTTATAGTCTGTTTGAAATGCTGGTTCTTTTTTTGACCTGCACAACGCCCTTTCTGCCTAAATTGCAGATTAACTCTTGCTTCCCTGTGCAAGATGCAAACATCGATCTTGAGCAAAAAACATTTTGTCATATAACAACAGGATATCTATGTGCTTCCTTTGTATTCAATAGTTAACATGTAAAAGGTGTGTAATGTAAAATTCCAAAGTACAGTGGTTGAAGTTTCCCCCAAAGCTCTTTGAAAAACCAAAAACAGATGCAAAACAAACGTATGATATATAAACCGTATTTGTTTTAAAACAGAGTTTTAAAAGTGGACCACTTTAGCCCTTTGAAATTCATAATGTTGAAATGCAGTGAATTGTAATTTAATAAGGGAAGTAGTAAAAGTTTAGACTTTATGCCAGTGCACCCCGAAGTAAAAGTGGGAAAAAAATTCTGTCCATTTTGTGGCCCAGGCCTGAGTGAGGTGCAGCGCCAGACGGCCGACGTGAACGAGCGCTACCAGCTGGTGGGCGACAAGCTGGCCGAACGCAAGTTTGACCTGGAGGGGGCGCTGGAGAAGGCCCAGGCCTACCGGGATGAGGTGCGGGACTTCCTGACCTGGATGGACAACGCCGAGGCCCAGCTCAAGACCGAGGTCACCCCAGGTGCCACCGCCCAGGAGGCCCAGAGGAACTTGCAAGAGCACCTGGTAGGTCCACGCGAAACATTTTTTGGGGGGGGGATGTTCAGGATATTCGCGACGAAAAATTCAGTGTCCATGTAGTCCTCACACTAGCCAAGTTGAAGTGCACCCTCACTGGCAAAGAAGAGACAGGCTCATAGGGAGTTTTCCAGTCAGTGTCTCAATCCTCTGGACAAAAATACTCAGTAATTATATTTATTATAGTGGTCCATTAGGAGATATTAAAAACTTTTCAAAAATGATCAATTTCTTACCTGGAAAACAATGTTTGCTCTTACTGTTCAATGCCAAGGTCTTTGCCAGTGATATCGATGACCACTCCTCCAATGTCTCCACCATCCGAGGACTCGCTGATGACCTGACCATCAACAAGACCCACCAGCCGGGAGCTGACAACATCCTGAAGCAGATGTCTTCACTGGGTAAGTCCAAGCTCCCAAATTTTGTGTTTGACTGTCTAATGAGCCCTAAGCTCAGTCACCAATTTGAGGAGTTCCGCGGTTTTGACAACGTTCGCATCCGTCTCACCTTAACATTCCTGAGTAGATCAAACTCTGGGAACTTGGAGATGGATCAGGTGGAGTTTAGATGAACTCTTTGAGAAATGAGTTGAAAGATTGTTTTTCTTCTGCCCAACCTGTGTTAATATCAAACTGATGCAAAGTTTCAGTGATTTCACTCTTATTTAATTTCCAGTTCCTTGGGGATGTAGTTTTTAACAAATGCGGTAAATTATTGAGGTTTTTTCCTCAAAATATTGACAAATTTAAGCAAACCCCTTAGAATGCTTCATCGAACTCAAACAGAGGTTCTAGTCAAATAGTTTGGTTCATGTGTCTTCAACAAAAATCGCAACTAGAAGCAAATCAAAGAAAAGCTTTGAAATACATAAAAGAAACGTCACCATTTTAAGAGTTATGATGAAGGCACAAGGTGCAGTTCTGTGAAAAATGGTGACTTGGTGGAGACCCAGCTTCCAAGTTTTTTTTCTAGGGGCTTGGTCGCACTTTATGAACAAACATTTACAAAATTTGTAACTTTTTTTTGGAAAAGCCCTGCCAAGTTCCGCATATCTGATTATTCTCAAAAGTAAAAAAGGAAATACTTTCCAGTCTAAAACTGCACCTGCTTTAGTTATACACACGGAAGCTCACAAAGAGACAGCCGGTGCATTGTTTTTAAAACGGGATGTGGAAGAGGCTTTTTGTTCATGACGTCGCCAACGGTTCAGCAATTAGTCACTGAGGATGCTTCCTTGTATAGCTCACAGCCAAAGATGCTGACGTACAATGGGTGACATTTTGTACTTGAAGCCTGTTTGATGAGATGTGCACTGAGGCTCATCTGCACCTGCTCAGACCAGATTGGACCATTTGGAGATGTTGCTCTATTGTGAAGCTTTGCAAAACAGGAACAACACATTATGAGGAATGCTTCAAAAAAAATTATAAAGAGAATCTTTTTAGTTGTTTTTTAGAATGTCGAGAAGGGAAAAAAGGAGAATTGAAATTCTGTATTATCCAAAAGTTCAGGTAAAAATTTTAGATATCTATACTTCAGCTGCTCAGAAAGAGAAAAGACTTCTTTAGTTTAGTGCTCTGCCAAACCAGAAATACTCATGTCCTTGCGTGCATTGCTCCTTTTTGGTTTAAAAAAAAATTTACATAAACATTATTAAATTAACAAATGTTGCATGGAAGATGAAATAAAGGAATGACTTTTGCCCACAAACACCCCTGTTTACCACCTAACCCACTCATCCCCTCCTCCAGCAATTGTCTTTGTGTGACCGAGTCGTTTATTACTTTTCCTGTGTGCATGTGTCTTTTCATTTCCACCCATTTTGCCATGCATTTTCCTGTCTGGCATTTTGTTCACAACACGTGTTATATATTATGTGTGTTTTTAGATTTGTTTGTCACTTTCAGGTGGTAGTTCTGGTGTCAGTACTGGTATCTTTGCCTCTCAAAGTGACCCGTCCTGACAAAATGAGATTCGAGGGTTCAAAGCCATACTGAAATGGGTGTCAATTATTGGCTTTTGTAATATTTGGAAAGAGTAGTTCGTCTCCGGTTGAATTCCAAATATTTCGCAGGATCACATATTTAAAAATGTCATTTTCTCAGCAGTTTTGACGACGGCATTGTTCGTGCCTGGTCTGAAATGTTGACACGATGTCAGGAACAAAGATACAAAGCTGTCAGAATAATGCCACCTTGTACTCTTACCCTAAGTGTTCCATGTACATACCACTGGAAAGCTTTCTTCCTGCTGAATTCAAAAATACCAATATCTCAATTTTTGAAAATTCCTACTTTCAGTTCATTTTGTGATGACAGGTGACATATATTGCAACGGGCACCAACCTGTAATTGTTGGACAAACTGGTTAAACATTTACTGTACGTCTGAGTCTTTTGCATAATTAGCACATGCTGTCTGTTCATGTGGTGTTCATACCCAGGAATCAGTGGAACCGCATGAATAGGATCCATAATCAATTCAAGCAAATTTGCATCCAGCCCACGCCAGCTGTCGGTTCCTCTGTGGTACGGGCATGATAATGTACTCATCCATGTTGCCAGGTACCAGGCTTGTGGGCGCTGAACACAGTGCAGGGTCTTCTTATTTGCATATTGTAAAAGGATTCTAGCTGTCTGGCATTCGTCAGTAACAGAGGGTGGGACTTTGCCTCGAGTGTGTTTTGAGTCTGTTAGGATGCTACCCAGGCGACACATTTTCTCACGAGTGGTTCTTGTTGGAAGCAAACAACAGACTGTGCAGGAGAAATTGTGCTCAGGCAAAAAAAACTAAATAAATAAAAGTCAAAACTATTGCAAGATAGTGACATCCAGTTTATAAGTGACACTCGGTTATAAATACTTGCTGAGTATTAATTTCTGCTGAGCCATCATTTCTGCTCACCAGCTCCTGGAAACAAGGCTAAGGGCACTGCATCAAATATTTGTGCCCTCAAGTGTCCAGAGTTCATTTGGAGAAAGAAATGACCGCACATGACATCTTTGTGCTTGACCAATGATGGAATTGCCATTCGATGATAGTCAAATGGTGTCCGTTAGGCCTCACTTGCTTCCCAGTGAGTTTCACAGGTCATTGGATTTTCTGGAAATAGTCCATTGATCAACTGCTGATTCTCTCTGGCTGAACGAATTACTTGCACCTGTCACCTGACATTCTGGCATTTTCCCAACAGAATTGTGGCACTTAGAAGTGACACTTTTCAGTTCAAGTTTAATTACAATTAGAATATAGTTGTTCAGCACAATTTATAGCTTCCAAAGTAGAGAATAATTAATTGTTGGCCCAGTTAGAGTAGTTTGGTCATACATGTCATTAAATAAAGACTTGCCTATTTTACCCTTCATTGGGAGTAGACATATTCATAAGAATGCATTTAATGGAAAATACAATTCACACTGTTCTCTATCTATTATCTGAATTACACCCATCATGCAGAATGGAAAGCCCTTACGTGCCTCACCCTGCATTTACATGTATATGTAAATAAATAGATTTCCCTAATCAATATTGATTAAGTCAAGTCAGTGGTCTCCCGTACATGGCCTGCCCATTCATATGCAAATGCAGGTAATGATATGCACTGCATGGACAATGAGGTTGATGTTTTAACCCCGGTCAAGTGGACCGGTTCCATTAGTAAATAGAATGGGTGAGATCCACTGTGGCTGTGGGTACGGCATCCCCAGTGTCAATCCATAATGTTAACACTGCAATGGGACCCATGTCTATATGAGAATAATAGCTGACATCTGTATACAGGCTGACAGGTAGATTTTGACCTCTCCTAGTGTAGTGTTACGTGACAGCATCAAGCGTAGATAAAATCTGTAACCTGTTGTCGTTTCATCGTCTCTAATGTTTGGGAAACTGGAATATAGCGTTTAAGACTGACTAATTCTATAACTGCTGAACTGCCACGTGCTGGATATGATGTGCATGTCTTCCCTGATATGTAAATGAACCTCTGGTGGTGGCGTTTACACGTTCACGCACACAGGCATCAGGCCCATGTCAGCTGTTTTGGCCAAGTCCAGTTGCCACCCTCACAGTGCCAGTTTAACGCCGGTTGAGTCTGCCAAGCTAGGGACGCCTCTGGTGGGTGTTTTCATAAGCGGTTTAGTCGTCGGTTTTCACGACCAATTTCACCCAGTTTTTGTTTGTGCACCATTTAATTCCGCCTAGTTGGCACCATTATTGTCGCGTATGCTTTCACACTTTCTCCTGTCTGGGCATATTAGCGGTGTACACGTGTAGACATGTTGTTAGCATTGCTTTACCTCAGGGCCCGACTGAGAGCCATCTTTGCAATTGCTCATGTACTGGCTTATTTATATTTCATTTCCAGTCATGTGTATGATTTCTCTTTGTAAATGGTTGGTAATAATAGTAATAATTTACCATTTATAATGCGCCAATTTCATACAAAGATCAAAGGTGCATTCCACATTTGATCAGATGTGACGGATTTGTTATGATGTGTCCCGTTTTCATGAGGTTTCTTAAATCCACAAATCTAAAGTGTGCATGCATGCAAATTTTGGCTATAGTGCCACTCCCACGTATATTAGCATGATGTAATGATTCTTTTCCTTTCTCCCAAGATAGAAAAAAAAGTTGAAAAAACAAAGATTACATGCTTTTAACATCAATTTTACTAATGTCCCCTGGCAATTCTTTTAAAATTGCATTTATGTAAACCATCAATTTTTTTTCAGGCATTATGCCAAAATGACTCGTCAAGGTTAAGCTCGTAGCTCAGGCACGTTTTATTGCAAAGACAATCCTCTGTCAAAAACTCCTGCATTACCGTGGGAAAATCTTCACGTTATAAATGCACTCAATCCAGCCAGTGACTGGAAAATTGCTCACAATGCCTATTTTAATAAATAGAACGTGCCAAGCTTATAACTTTGCACATTTAAAAATTCCTGAAGGGCGCTTTGGGGATGTACAAGTTCATCAATTAATTGTTTGAATTGGCTCAAGTTCTGAAAGGGTAAATTAACAAGCAAGGCTGTTTCCTTAGCAACGGGTGAAAATCACTATGGTCACACACTATTACTCTAATGGTAGGTTTCAGTTGAACTTTAGGAGATTAGTTGGCACAACCAGTTGTTGATTCTCAAACACTGAACAAAAGTACAGTGCCTCTTGACAAGCGAGGTCGCAACGCACCGTCATCAGCGTGTTGCAGTCATACGTTGATTGGTACACGCTGTACATGCCCAGGCAGTTGGGTTTTCTAGGAATTTACCATTTGTGGAGAGACGCGAGAAAAAAAATTAACCTTGATTTCCAGCAGTAATGTATACAGGGAGTTTTGTATTTCATTGCTTTGACAATGACATCAAACGTTTCAGTAGCCCAATGCATATGCTGTT